CACAGACCTGTGACCAGCCCCCGACCACCCGCAGCACTGGGGAACCAACTCAAGATGGAGTTTGTGTCTATGTAACGGCCCAGTTCCACGGAGGCCGCGTCTGCAGGACTACACTCACCCAGCTGGTCTGAACGTCACCTCTGTTGACGCTATCAAGTGTCGCCTTAAGTTTCCAGAAGCCCTGTGAGTGTGCGGTTCACTGCCCCAAAAAGTGCAAATATAAACAGAAGTCACCTCATAGCTATGTGACATGTCTTCTCCAAGAACATTCTAGAAAGCTGTGACAGCGAGAGGGCCAGTCCACTGCAGACCAACCCACGCATCCTTGGCAGCACTTGCACTTTATAACGTGACTTCTAATTCCATGACATTCTTAGCAGCAAGTAACAGTTTTTTAAGTTCCAGAAAATAACTCTGTACCTGTCCAACGTTGTAAACACACAGCCCGAGTGCTCTGTCCCCCGGGCCCTCCTGCTTGCACTCGGGGAGGCAGGGCCTGCAGGCCCCGCCAGCTCTCCACCTCTGTCATCTTCCCAGGGGAGTCTGTCTAACCCGAGAGAAACAATGCAGACTCGGGCACTGGCTCCCTCACCACGAAAGGAAAACACAGAAGGGACGGCTGGACCCCCCCCCTCCCCAAAAACGTGAAAATCCTGACCACCAGACTTGAAGCAGGTTATAGCCTGGCTTTTCTCTATTTTGAGTTCAAAAATCAAACTGCAGCTTCCCACGTAACACCCTCTCTGAACCGTGAAGGTTCTGCCGACCCGACTTCACTGGGTTTCTTCCCCCAAGCACCGTCTGCACACAGCCACGCAAAGGCGACCGCCGCCCTCAGCAGAAACCGGGGCCAGCGGGCGCAAGGCCGGGTCAGGTTCAACCAAGGCCCCTGCAGAGATGGTCTCTTTCCACCAACTGGGAACTTAAAATGAAATTCTGTTCTCACCCCTACATTTACTCTCTCTAAACGCCCTTTGTTTTTCCAGCAAGAACTGTCCCCAAGGGAAACTGAGTGGGCTCCAAACGGGCTGGGCCAGCTCTGGCTGGGGAGAGACCTCAAATGGCGCGCGAGGAGGCGGGACAGCTCCCTGGCCCCCTCTCCCGGCTACAATGTGACACACAGACCTGGTGCCCTGCCCTGCACCCGGGCCTGGCCACATGGCCCTGCTGCACCTCAGAGCAGACCTGAACGAACGAGCCGGTGCCCAGTCCACATGAGGACAGCTCCGCTTCCTGCCTTTCCCCAGGGGTTATCACAACCCATCAAATGTTCTTAAACACCTCCAGAGAACATTTAGAAAGTCAGGCCCTGATCCGCCAGAGGCTGCCAAGCGTAAGTGGAGTCAGAGTGGAGGAAAAGAAGCGCGGCCAGAGGAGGCAGGCCGTGGAAGCCACACACAAACCGGAACCACATGTGGGGGGCCCTGCACACGTCACAAACAAGCACATGTGCCCTCTGCCACGAGGTGACCCAGCATTAAACAAGTCTCAGCCTCACTGTTAACAACACCCTCAGCCCCAAGGACACAGGCAGTCCAAGGGCGCCCCTAGAGTGAGTCCCGGGGAGCACGCTCCCCAGCCCAGTGCGTTCGTGAGGGAAAGGTGGCCTTTGCTGTGACAGCACCTCTGCGCAAACACTAAAATAAGATCACCCTGGCAGCATTTCAGAAGGATACTCACAGCTTTCCAGACCCTCTTTCAAACCCAGACAGAGTGAATGTGGCTTTCTCAAGGTCAGCGTGGCTCTGCCCTGTGCACACGTGACATCGGGAATTACACTTCGGCATCTGTCAGGTAATTTCCCAACCTGCCAGCGAATCTTACACATTCCCTTAAGGAATAATGCCTCAGGGTTGATGAGAACAGTCCTGTCAGAACCCACCCTGTGTTACTTAACCCTACAAAGAAAAGCTTTTTAAGAAGCAAGCATGCATCTCCATGTGCTCCCCCCAACCCTGCAGTGTGCAGGGGCCAGGTGGGTGCCCAGAGTGTGTGGGGCGGGGGCGGCGGGAGCCCCACAAGCCCCACACCGCAGCACTGGGCTGAGCAGCAGACCCGGGAGGGATGAAGGCCTTCCCGCCAGCCTCTCGTGTCTCCCGTATTCCTCTAAATCCCAGGCATCACTGCCAAGGGCTGTTAGATTCTTATTCTCAAAGGATGCAGTTTAAAGCTCCAATCTTAATGTACAGCCTTAATACAGTATCACAATTTAAAGCAGATTTTGGTGCTGTGGCAAGTGTCCGTGAGCAGCGGCCGAATTCCGAGCGTGCTGCAGCCGGCTGCCGCGCCTGGCCAGGGTCACCGTCATGTTTCGGCAGCTCTCCGTCACTAGAACTGCAGGCCACCGAACACAGTTCGGGGCAGACATCCTGAGGCTGGTGGAGGTCAGTCACCACCCAGGAAAGGAAGCGCCCCTGGGGCCTTCCATGCAGAGAGGGGAGGGGACTGGCAAGCTGGGAGGGTCTGTCTGCTCCGTGAGCCCCAGGGGCTCAGTCTAGCTCTGCCTTGGCCCTCAGTGGGCCAGGTCAGTGCGGCTGGCACTCAGAGCTCGCCAGTCTGCCACACAATGATTTCGTTCCTGTGTGAAAAAACAAATGGAAAAATTATTGTCAACCAGTACTAAACATGCCAGCTTCCAGTGGTCTCAGCGCTAAGAACCATGGCTGCAGACTCAAGTCAGCATGAGAGTCCTGATGCTCTCATGTGCGTGTGCAAGGACCGAGAAATGGGGTCAGAGGACCATGTCAACCCCAGACCTTTCAAAAACAAAAACAGCTTCTTTCACCCGCATTAGCAAATAAACTTAAAGCTAACTACCCAGCATCTTGTAACCTCTAACTGGAGGCCCCGGGGACAGTCACGTCCCAAGGGGGCCAAGGGGGGAGGGGAGGTCAGCACAAGTGCCAGGCCCACTCCAGTCCACGAACCCCAACACCGCACCAGTGGGACTGGGGCACCTGGGAAAGCTGCAGGCTCGAGGGTGAGTGAGCAGGAAGCCCAAGCACATGGACCAGCAGACATGTCAAGTCACAGGAGGCTCCTTCCCATCAGCTCGGGCAGCCTGGTCTGCCCAGCCTAGCTGAGAAGCGGGGCCAGGTTCTTGAGTCTGGAAGCCTGGCTAAACCCCAAGTCACACATACAGAATAAAAAGGCCATTTTTGATGGGGAAGTGAATGCCACCAGTTTTAAAGGCGAAGATGCGAGACTTGGATAGGTGACAAAGTGCTAAAGATTGCCGTCACACTGACAGCATGTCTGGCCTTCTGTCAGTAAAGTTCCGAATGGCTTTAAAACACTTCAACAACAGCCCAGCTAGCCATTGTATTAGTTATAAACTTATTAGCAGCTAAAATCATATAAACAAATAATACAAATTAATAACTGGTCAAGTTTTGATATTATTTTATCAGAACGCTTCATTTTTAATAAAGTTAAAGTATTTTTAAAGACCATTATTAATATACTGAGAATGTTCATAGTGCAAACATTTGCATAATTCAGACAGTTAATGGAGAATACAGAAGTGTCATCATGACGTGGCTCTAGTGAAGCGGCCATGGTGCCAAGGAAGGGCCCAGCTGACCTGGTCCCGGAAGCAAGGGTGTGGGCGGGGCCGGCTCCTTACTTGGAAGTGGTCTTCGGCTGCCTTGCCACCCACGTTAAGGACACTCAGAGAGCTGGCGCGCTTCATGCTGCAACCGGACGGTGGACATGCAAGGACAGGCCGTCAGCACACAGTCAACCAGGAGTGGGAAGCAGAGCAAAGCCGTCCCTCAAAGGCCTGTCACCACAGGGGGCCTGAGTGTCCCTGGCGGAGCGCGGGCCTTATCTCCCTCGGGCTAGGCTGTCCACCCAGTTCTCAACACGGACACCCAGGTCCAACTGTATTTAGCACCCGGTAGAAAAAGGTGCAGTTTCTCTGCGTCTTCCTCAGCAAAATGTTTGTCCTAAAGAACCACATGTAAACCCCAAGTGTTACTACAGCTTCACTTTGTACAGCCTGGCTGCTCTAGGAGCCGAGAGGCTCTGCGGATGCAGCGTACTGACTCAGCCTCGCGAGGGGCTCCAGGAACTGGACCAGCCAGGTGTCTCATCACCTCCGTGACTGCACTGCACAGTGACCCTAGGCTCACAATTAAGAGCAAATCATAGATATAGTCTATATTTTATGTTTTTGAATATTAAAACTAGGGAAACATTTTTTATTTGTAAAATAAACTGAGGCTAATATTTCTCTGCTTAGAAACCAAAATTTAAAACAAATTTCATAGTTTTAAAGAAATACTGTGATCTACACATATATTTATTTTTTTCTCCCATTTGACACCTTTAAAATAATGAAATAAGCTACAGATTACCTATAACCTAAACCTGAATTATGCATATCCTAAAATTACCTTACTGCCACCACAGATGACCTCCAACACAAGTCACCTTAGCTTTTAAGGCTAAAAATAACCGATGTGAAGGATTATTTGTAAATGTTTACAGCAGAATCTGTGATTCTGAACTTGAACTACTAGGGCACAAGCAGGGACCACTGTTACTCATTCTGCCAGCTGGGCCCAGCTGCAAGGCCGGGGCCGGGGCCCGGGCCCAAGACGCACACAAGGCGGCTCTGGCCGCAGGGAGGGAAGGCCGGGCCCAAGCCCGCACGTCGGTCGGCACACGGGCACAGCACCAGGCAAGGGGTGGACACCTACTGAGCTCCCCCTGAGCGACCGACCCCCAAAACAAAGATCTCGATCTACTTACTCCCAAGTGGAATGACTCCCTTCCCCAACCAGGGCAAAACGAGAGCGCCCCATGCACCCCACACAGCGCACTGGGCCCCAGCAGGCTCCTCCCGATCCGGAACCCCTCAGGAACAGAGGACAAAACTGAACCACATCACAGGTGAAGTACAGTCTGGCATATTTAATTATTCAATTAACTGGCCAGGTAACTTCTTCTAAGGAAGCTACACAACCCTTGTCCTCAAACTCCCTTTTCCCTACAAGATGAAAGAACAATCCGCCCCGTCAACACCGCTTCCAAATCAGAGCCACATTTTTCCACTCACACCTGTGTGGAGCCCACTGACTCCACGGAGTCTGGGAGCTGCCGGCGGCTCTGTGATCTGCCAGCAGCACTGCTGGCCTTGCTAGAACTCGCTAGAAAGGCAAACTCACCCCCCGCAGACCCCGGCACCAGAGAATCTGGGTGGGGCCGCACAGTCTGTCACAAACCCTCTGGCAGGTGCTGAAGAATGCTCAAGTTTGAGAGCGATTTTTAATTTTAAAAATGTTACTCTTACCTGGAAAGATGACTCTGTTTATGCATTGTATGAGATACAATTTCTAAATTATTTAGTTTTCCAAAAAGTTCAGTAAGGTATCATCCAAATATCGTCCATGAAGAACGTTAGTATATGCAAGCGCGGGTCTATTTCACACCAGGTCTGGCCAGCAAAGTCTTAGTGCTGTGAACGTGCCACACTGGGGAGTGTTCACACAGTTACATCACGTACAGACAGGAAGACATGGAAGAAACAGAAACTGTGAGCTCTGTCACATGGGAAGGCAGGTCCCACGTCATGGGGCTCAGTGCCAGAATCGGAGTTTGCATTTGAAAAGCAAAGCTTTCCAACACCGGAACCTCGAATGAGCAGCGCGTCCGCCCCATAGGGGTGAGTGATGGCCGGTACAGACTGACCACACGCCCTGTTCAGATGCCCAGAATGCTGAGAGAAAGTTTGCTCTTTCCAAACTTAGAGCGCCAGACAGTACACTATCATTTTAGTCCTGGGAACTTGTAAACACTTTAAAGCCGGAGTCACCTGAGAGCCTCCTTCCCTCAGGACGCGTTCACCTGTCTCTCAGGCAGGACAGCACCCTGCGCTGGGCCTCACGTGCTGCAAATGCAGCGTCTTCCAGGGCCTCACAGCCAACAGCTGCAGAGCTTACAAAGCATCTTCTGCACAAACGGGGCTGGAGACACCCCTGAGAAGCAGGGCAGTGGCCACCCATAAAAATCAAGTCGTTCCTCTTGCCTGAGAAGCCATCAATCAGGAAACATGTTCATCCAACACAGAGAGCCACCCAGGGCACAGAGATGGGAGCAGGCCTGGCCTCTGCCCCTGCAGGGAGCTGGCCCAGGGGCACCGGCTAACACCGCAGGGCTCAGGGGCCAGACCCTACCCGACATCAAGAGGGCTGGGACTGGACATGCCTTGAAAACAGCAGAGGACACAACTGAAAAGGCACACAGCTTTAATGCTACCGAAGTGCCGCCCAGAGCTCAGTCTCACAGTCCTCGGACGTTAGACATTAGAATTCTTCCAGAACTTAGAGTGAGATAGCTTTTAAAGTAGAGTTATACCAGGAATCAATCTTTACAAAGGAGGTGCTGTTTTAGGGAGGTAGAGCTTCACAGAACAGCTGACAAAGCAGTGCTTCTGTGAGAAGTGCATCCAAAACCAGGAAGCCATTTTCACCAGAAACAACTCAGAAACCAGAGCAGTTTGTTAGCACCCTAACAGAAAAGCAGTGAGCCCTGCCTCTGATGCAGCTTAGAAAAAACAGAGTATCTCAGAACCAAATTCCTTTAACAGCCTAAATGTTACTGTTCAAAAGACCCTAAAAGACTCATGACTGAAACCTTTGTTTAACACATGCTAAAGCTAAGGTCTTTTAGAGTCTCCTGAAGAAACCTGCTACAATGGACGTCTCGACGTTGTAATCCTTCTATTTAGAACCGCTTTTCTTCCTGTAGTTAATACCTATGTGATAAGATTTAGTATAATCATAGCTAGCACTTGATTTTAAAAGAACAAAATTTTAAAGGATTTAAACGAATGCTAACTTAGTAAATAAATAATGCCTGTTTAGAGTAAACACGTTAATATGCCCGGTGTTTTAATATTAAGCTTCGACTTTTCACTGCTAAGGCTTTCTCTGCAACGTAACGGAATCAAAGAGCTCCGCAAGCTTCTTTCAAAGGCATTGGCCCTTTTTGCCTCTAAGAGGAAGTTTCACAATTGTTTCTCAACCTGTCCTGGGAAAAGACTGGACTGAAACTACTAAACCCTTCCATTGCTAAAATACGGGCAGCGAGTTGGCGTGTTTTTTCTGAAGCTCTGGAGCAGAGGTGGCCGTGAGGCGGGGCGGGTCGGCGGGGCGGCGGCGGGGCTGGAGATAGTTACCCGGGGTTCTTTGGCTCACTCTCTCGGGAACTTCCTCCCTTCAGCTTCCTAACCAGCTTCTCGCTGCTGCGTTTAATTGAAGCCCGGAGTTTGCTAAAGGAACCACTGCGTTTTAAAGATCCAGTGCCATCCTGAAAAAAACGTGAACAAATGTGAAGCTACAGGTGTTTCCCCCCCCAGCCCCCAAGAGGCAAAGCTGAGTGCAAACAAGATTTCACATTGTGGCTTATCTGCTAGTCTGTGACTTGCTGGTAATGTGCAGTCCCTGTCAAATTAGCCGTGACATTTTCGACAGAACTAGAACAAATAATCCTAAAATTTGCTGGTTGTATGATTTCTACGGAAATTACCAATTTGCCATTATATAAATACACTTCAAAAAGAAATCTATCCATCTTAAATTTCATTCAAGACAATCCAATGATCATGAAAACTTTTGAACATGAAGCTCATTCAAACAAAAGTAATAAGACCCTCAAAGGAAAGTTAACCATATTATTGTTGTTTTGAAAGAAAAGATACACAAAATGTCTCAAGAAAATTAAGCAGTTTCTAGGAATATCACCAAAATCAAATTCCATGTTTAATAAATGCAGGAGCATCTGGTCCATATAGCTGAACGGGACCCAAAACATTTACATCTGACACAGGCAACTTCCTCTTAATAACTTCCTCTAAATGCAACAGATGTACAGTTTCTTCAGTAAGTTTTAGAGGACAGTTTTATTAAATGTGGATTATAAATGTGGTTGGAAGTTTAAATAAAATGCTCATTCTGTGCCAATAACCAAAACCCCTCAGACATCTTGCAGGAAGCACAAGGAGTGCCCAGCTTTCATCACAGCTGATTCAGACATAAGTGAGACACTCAGCAGTATCTGGATGTGAAAATCAAAACACAGAGTGAAAAAATGTGTACACAGCAACTTTTATTCTCAGAATGAATCTTAGTAAGATTAACAGGAGCCCCATTCCTTCTAGAAGCCAGAGCAATGCTGCATTCCATGGAAAGAGTGAGGAATTCTACCAAGCAGACAGACACCGAGACACAGGTCAGTTGGAGTGAGTTTATTAGAAGTTAGAAAGACACAAATACACAAATCACTGAACACTTAAAGATTAGTAGAGAAAAGCAGAGTTGCCAAAATTCCACACAGAGACTACACAGCCAGTTCTACTTGAGCATGATCCGAAGGGGCAGGCCCGGAGCCGGGCCAGGTCCCCAGGACGGGAGCAGCACATGCCCTGGGCTCACAGCCGAGCCGGCGTCACGTCACCATCATGCCACTGCGGTAACACCGGGGGAGACCTCTAACTACCTTCTATCAAAGTGAACAGCTATCCTCTTAGGTTTTAAACTCACGTAGTACACGGTGAATGGATTTCATTAATACAGCTTGTATTACTAAGTACATGTCTGGCAAAGCTACATGTTTACAGAGATAAGGGACCCCCCAAAAGAACAGCAGCACCGAAAGGAGCAGCCAGTCACAGAGGCGCAGCTCTGACAAGAATCCTAGGGGACTGCTAGACACAGCGGTCAGCACTGGAGAGAGGAGAGAAGCTGGAGGCGGTGCCACCCTCATGCAGGAGACAGTGAGTGTCACACAAGGCGGCTAGGCCTGTCAGACAGAAACGGAGAGAGAGAGCCCAGGTGAGACTTGGGAGGCAAGAGTCAGTTTCCCACTTAGCACAGCTAGGCTTACAGTATTTCTAGGTCACAAAACCTCAGCAGCATTGTAAATTCTTTAGTATTTGGAACTATCTTCTGCTTGCTTCTGTCAGCCCAGGATAAAACAGGGACTGGGCCTCGTGTTACCTTTTACACTGTCTAGACTAGCCACTCCTCACCACCCTCAAGATAAAATGCAGCGTGTTTGGAGCACAGACTAGCACTGTGCCGGAAGCCTCCTCAATGCGAGGACAAAAGGGCTTCAAGTGACTGTATGTAAAAGAGATTCTGCAACGAGAACCAACCCTAGTGACCAACAGACAGACTGCCATGCACGGGAGGCGTGCGCTCACTCAATCTGTCACTGAATCAGAGGCCCTTCTAGACCCCTGAACTATCAGCTTCTCTCTGAAAAGCACTGACGTGGTAGATGTTTCAGAAATTGTAGGAACCGCTGACTGTAAAAGTCTACAGCACATTTTTAACATGCAGTTGATAATCCAAAGCAAAATTAACTAGAAAAGGCATCCACAGCAGCAGCGCATCTGGGTCCTGGCAGACGGGAAAGCCGACGGCCTCGCCCAGAAGCCCCGCGCAGCAGGGACCTGAGCCGCCCGCGCTGACTCACCATGCGACGCTGAGCAAGTCATTTAACCAGCCCGAGCTTCATCTTTCTCATCTTTAAAATGGAAAAATAAAACTTGTTACCAACTCCCCACGAGTGCCGGGAGGACAAGAAAACACAAGTTCTTGCTGCTCTTCAGAAAAGAATGTCAAAATGTTTAACATAATTCTACGAATAGTACTACTCCTGCTGTTCAGTTCAAAATCCAGTGCTACACTACCACAGTACTATTTGTAATATTCCTGCACTAGATGCTCAGCAGAATACAGAAGAGCAGTTTCACTCAGATTCTAAAAGTACTTCTTGTTTTATGCACACACACGCGCGCACATGCACACTCTCCCCCCACCACCCCTCTCCCCACCCCCCACCCCCAACAACGGGCTTGGGAGCAGCACGTGGTCCCAGGGACACTGGATCAAGTCTGCCCACCCTCCCTGCTCTCGCCAGCTGGGACCCTCGCCCGTGAGAACCAGCAGGAAGGACAGGACAAACCCACCAAACCAGGGGGACTTCTACTCAATACAGGCTTTAGAGGTGGGGAGTTTCACTCCATTTCAACACATCTTCATACTGTCATGAATTATTTACATCAAAACAGTGGGCTTCTGAACAGAAGCTAAGAGTATGATGTACTAGTTAAGAGCTACACAGCGGTAATTAGCATCTACGGATTGCAGGTGATTTGGTGGTTTTTAATTTTTTTTCTCTGGTATATTCTAGTTGGCTTCCTAATACAATTTCTTAAAAATAAAAATTAAGCTACTTATAATTAACAGTATTATTTTATTCCCCAGTAATCCAGGAAGAGTTCAGTGTATTAAAAGCTTTTAGGGAAAAAACTAGCACGGGAAACAACAGGAAAAGAATGGGGGACATGGGGGTGGGCCACTTCCAAAGGACCCCAGTAGATACTGGCACCCGAGACAAAAAGTCTAGTGTAGATGAAGGCTGACTCTGGGACTTGGGTTCTACTCAGAATGCAAGCGGCGTGGTGTGTCCTGGTGGGACCACCGCAAATACAACTCCCTCAGAACAGGGCAGCCCCGAGGCCCCAAGGCCCCAGTGAGGACCCGGCTGCCAGGGGCCAACACGGTAGACCGCCGTTAACACAAAGCCTCGTGGACACAGGGTAAACGGAACCCAGACCTTCCAGAAAGGGTTCCTATGCACAGAGCGTCTGTGTTTTTAGAGGCAGGATCATAAAAGAGAACTAATTCAGACTTTTTTTTTTAATTCAGACCTGACGGTGATTTGTACACCTGCACAATTTATACAAAAACAAGCTCGATGAAGTTGTATTTTCAAGTACTTTAATCACAGTATTTATGATCATAAAGGGAAGGAACAGAATTGTACTTCCCTAAACAAATTACCTACCATGTCAAGAATCTGATCCAAGAACTTCATATGAATTATTAGAATATGTGCAGTAACCTTATTTTTATTTTAACAGCATACAACTCAGTTCTGTGCTGACCCAGACTTACAGCAATCTGCAGGGAGCAGTCATTATAACCCAGCTCGCCTTACCTTAGACCACACCGCCCTCTGTTGTAAATGCCACTTCCGGATGTTGAGAGGGCCTAGGCCTAGTCCGAGTGGATGGCTGCGCGAACCCCAGGGAGAGGGCCTGCCCCCCCAGTTCCAGTCCTCCCCACAGAGCAGCTCAGCGCTCTCCCTACGGCAGAAGTTCCCAAACTTCTTAAAGAGTGCTGAAATATTTTAAATCTTTTTAAAAAGTTAAAATCCAATGCAGAACCCCAGTAAGAAAATAAAATCTAAACGGCATTTTCTCAACCCACAGGTGTAAAAAGTTCTTATGACAATGAAGTTAAACAGAACAACGAAGCTGCCCTGCAGAACCCGCAATCCGAAACATGAAGTTACAGACGACAGGTCTGGCCTCAACTCCCAATTTATTTCTATCTTTTCTCTTGACTGCATAACACTGAGAAAATCCTGACACAGAGATAAGCAGCTGCAAACAGCAACAACTCTTAAACTGTCTGCCTTGTACTGCCAGGGCAACTTGCACTCACACGGGAACAGAACAGACACTCTATTCTCACACCTGGGCAGAGACTGATGTGGGGCTGCAGTGTGTTAACATCTAAACCGAAGATACTGGAAATGGGCCCCTTTGGTTGCATATAATTATAGCTCAATAAAGTTGATTTTAAAAACATCTAAATGTGCATACTGCCTTTCTGGCCTCTTAAAACATAAATGTCTTTACAATTTAAAAAAATCCTTGAAATAAAAAATGCAGGTACACTGAGCTCTAAAATTATACCTAAGGGAATGTTTTCTATAGGTATACAGGGACACAAAATAGGGTACAAATTTTATTCTTTGAAACTACTGCAATGGAAAAATATTAAATAATCTTGAGTATCAATTTTTAAAAAAACAAAAAAACACAAATGATTTGAAAGTAAAATTCAAATCAAAGGTGGGAGTGAGCAGCACTACTGCCTCTGAGCCTTCGAGCTTCCAAAGGAAACCAGCCTGAGCGCCACGGCCTCCGGGAGGAGGCCCCAGCTCGCGGCTGTCCCGCTCTGGCAACCTGAGCAGCGCTCTATCTGCTGCGTCAGGTGAGACTCCATTTAAAGAAAGGGTTCCTCTCGCTGCTCAAAGTGCTGGATGACCCAAGATCTCGATTCTTCCAGTCAGTCGAACCCTGGGCCAAGTAAAGCGCCCTGGGATGGATTCTGTCAGGCTGTGAACTGCTAGTGTCCAGAAGTCAAGGAGAAAGATACCCCACGCCCAGCGGGTGAGCGTCCCGAATGGCAGCACGTCCCCAGGGAGAGGGACGTGGAACCACAGGGGAGCAAGCAGGCTCTTGAGGGGACAGCTTCTACCCGCTGCACTAGGGATTCCAGCCGCAGTCCCAGCAGGAAGCCGCCCGCCAACCCCTCCCCAAGAGGGGAGGCAGCACTCCCTCAGCCCCAGCCTCCGCCTTGAAGACGGTAACAGGATGCTGAGGTGTCAGTAACGTGATCATCACATGATTTGAAAGGTTGACCTAGAAATACTGTCTCAAGAGAAAGCTCCACTAGGACCTCACGAGAGAACCAGCGCCTGCTCCCTGGCTCCTGAGGGACAGAGGCTGGCCGGGCCTCTGCACAAAGCATGCGGACGACGCGGCGCAGGGGGAGCACAGTCCACGGCGTGGCTGGACGTGGGCAGGGCAGGCCAGCCGTCCTCGTGTGCACCTGGCTGCGGCCCCGCGGGGCCAAGGGGTCAAAGCAGATGCTGATTGGTTGTCTTGGCACAGGAGAAACCAAAGCAAGAAAGCTGCCAGATAAAGACAGTCAAAAAAGATGTTCCTCCCTGAGATTCTGGCCAACAACCTCCTGTACGAGATGTCTGTCTAGAATGCTGACCCCTACCAAACTGCTACAGCTACGGAAAACCCCAAGAGTATGTAGATTCAAAAAGACAGATTATAAGAAAGCCCCAAATTCCTATTTGGTAAAACATCTGTACAATTACAACTAGTCAAACTGCATTACGTGACTTCAGAAAAAATCAATAGTGCACCTGAATGCATTAGAGCTAATCCTGCATTCAACCCTCCCTGATAACAGCAAAACTCCAAAGACATCAGTTCCACGTGCAAAAACACTATCCACGTGTTACAAAAATTCACTAGAAAGAAAATGTCCAGAAGGCCACATGCTCTTTGGCAACCACTGGAGAAACAGCGGTGCAAGAATCTCTGCAGAAGCAGACGCTGGCCATGGAGGGGACGCTTCCAACACAGCACACGCTCGGGAGACACCTGCAGCAGGCACGTCACTGTGAAGTGTGGTGAACCACCAGGCTCCTCAGGGGACGGAGCTGGGGCGCAAAGAGCAGCTGCCCTAACATCTTTGCTCCTGAACTGCTCTTTTCTATAGTCAAGCTCTGTCTGAAACGTCATTTTCCTTTAAAGTATTTAAACTAATTCTAACAGAATCTATAGCAGCCTGGTCAGTGAAATTAGGAGCACTGAAGTTAGCGATGAAAATGGGTAAGTTAAAAAAGCAAGTTAGTTATCTGCCACACTAATCCTAACATTAAAATAAAACCAGATTATGGATTATGCTTTAAATAACCAGGACACTCAATCAGCATTTAAGTGCTCAAAGTGAAGCCAAACAGCTTTCATGGACTCCTAAGAGGAAGAAAATTACCGCTTCCAACAAGTGACAGCCTTGGGCACTGGCGGAAGGTGACCTACAAGGGCCTAGCTGGGACTGACTGAGGAAGGAGGCCGGCGAGGCTCCTGCCGTGCACTGTACTTACCCCGCTCCACTCTACGCTCATACTCACTTCCTCCCCTCCGTCAGGGCCGCTCTCGTACTTGACCGCGTCCGAGCTGAGGCTCTCCCGGCTTCTCCGCTTCTCCGTGTTCTCAGGGTCATTCAGCACCTCAGCGACTCTCTGTTTGTGAACATTGTCAAGACCCTGGGAGCCAGGTAGAGAAAAGGGTTTGATCCATTAGCACTCGAGTTTCCGGAGGGTTTCTAAGATCACTAAACGTGTACTAGGAGAAAACACTGGGGGGGAGATCAGAACAGTGACTCTCAGGAAGGCACACTCAAGACATGTGCATTTCACTGTATGTAAATCTCACCTCAAATCTTAAAAAACTACGAACATATGTTAAGCTCCACTTAATGACCTGTACATTCAAGTATTTAGAAGGCAGTGCAGTGAGGTACACAATTTTGAAATGCATCAAAAAAAAAAAAGATTAAAGGACAGATGAAGGGAGAGATATAAATCAAGTATCATAAACTGCTCTTGACGGAGCCCAGGTGGCAGGTGCTGTTTTGTAAGCGTCTGTAAAGTCTGATGATGAGAGGCCCAGCTTTTAGCACCACGTGCCTGCTGTTTCCCGCCTCCAAACCCAGTCCGTGGTTGGACAGCCCTGGACTGTTGTGACGTCTCTGACAGTCAGCGACGGATGCCTGCCGAAGGCGCTCCAAAAGCAGACTCTCACTCTGGGGAAGGGCTGACAAGCAGCAGCAAGCAGTCGCCGACTTTCTCAGTCTCGCTCCAGCACGCCCCAGTTCAAACGCAACTGGATTAATGCCCAGCAGCAAACATTCTCCATGTTGTTTCAGTGCCGATTGACATCCACGCTCTAAATGGGATTCCAACCCCACAGCTCAGGCAAAACCCACACCTTCGCTGACCTGCACGGGCGCCCTCTGAGGAGGCACAGTGCTGCTATGACTTTCACAGGGAAACGACTGTGGCAGGAGGGGTGTGGTCAGTGAGGCCCGGGTAGCCTCTTCTCTTAAACCTCTGCAGCTTCTGACTCTGACTCCGACTCTGCGGGTTGGGTGAACACTACGTGCAATGGTTTACAACAAGGCCTGAGGCGCCCCCAGACCACCTGAGCCAGAACCCCTCACAGCACACACCCAGGCCCAGAGGACCCGGGAAGGATGACGGGGACAAGGAAGGGCTCCTGCAGGGACAGCGACTGGGGGAGTCCCTGACGGTATCCCTGCCGGGCCTTCTCTGGTCACACAATTTCTTCAAAGAAAAAAATTATCAGGTATACATGGGTGACTTTAATCCCAGCTGAAAAGTGGCCACAAACTAACAACTATACAACAGTCTACATACACATCATTCGGGGGAGGAACCCAGACCTGCGCCTCCAGCTCTAAAAACAGGAAACAAAACCTGCTGACTTTATATGCACGCACACACTCAGCAATACACTAACTGCTCACTGCACACCAGTAATCACAGGGCAGGAGCTCAGCCCTTCTCCTGTATTTTCTCTGCAAGCTAACTCCAGCAGAACTGAAACCTCTCAGGTGATGAAGGAAGTGCTTCAGCAGCTCACTAGCTGCTCTTCGCTGACTGACACTGCACTGCATGGCTGGAGCACGCTGTGCAGCTGGTCACCCGTCGATGGGTACATGGTGCTTCCATGCTTAGCCTCCTGGGAGTAACGCTGCCGTGAACGCATGGAGGAGACAGATTCAATCCTCACTATTTACAGAGGCCACAGTCGAGAACTCAGCCACGTGCCAACACGTATTTCTAATCCCCAGTCAATGCTCGAAGTGCTTTCACGGTCCTTCACAGACACACACAGAGTGGAGGAAAGCTCAGGTCATACAGCACATGTCCCCAGCTAAGACCCAGCAAGGTAGCATTCTGCTTTCTTTTTCCTCCTAAAGCTTCATTTATTTTTTTAAATTGTGTTTGTTTGTTTGTTTGGGGGGGGGTAATAGGTTTATTTGTTTATTTAGTGGAGGCACTGGGGACCGAAGCCAAGACCCTGAGCATGGTGGGCCCGTGCTCCACCACTGAGCTGCACCTCCCTACCCCTGCTTTCCTCTTTCGTCTCGTACTGTCAACAACTGTCCCCTCCCAGTCTGAATTACTCGGTGCCCAGGCTCTCCACATTTCTGTCAGGGACCTCACTGTTTAAAATGGCCCCCAAGAGTGTGCTAAAGTGTCATCTAGTGTCCTAAGCACAAGAAGGCTGGGGTGTGCCCTGCGGAGACAGGCATGAGTTTCAGAGCTGCTGGCCATGAATTTCTTGTTTCACCGATTCATTAACCAACACCACACACTACACAAGGTGTCTTTAAACAGAAACACACATTAACACAAGGTTAGGCCTTGAGTTGGCGTGAATGTGACCAGAGGCTCACACGACCCCACCCTGCACTTTCCTCCCCTGGGAGTAGAGGCCTGGCAGTGCCGACTGTGTGTTCAGAGCAACTGCAGACACAACAACCGCGCAGCGGGACTCCGCTGTGCCAGCGTGTGCACCGCTGCTCAGTCTGGACGTGGACGCTGGGAGTGGACCTGCAGGCCACCTGGCAATTCTCCGCCTGACTCTGATGCACCTCCAACCTGTCTCCTATAGCAACCGCGCCTGCGGCCCGAGGGGCCAGTTCCCACACCTCCCCAACACCGCTGTTTCTGTTTTGGTTTTGCTCTAGCCATCCTCATGCGTGCAAAGCGGAGTCTCACCGCGGTTTGGCTCCGCCCTCCCTGCTGACTGATGACATGCAGCACCTTTCCACGTGCTTGCTGGCCTCTGTGTCCCACCTCTAGAGCAATGTCTATTCAGGTCATGCACCGCTTTCTAATGCAGTGGTCCCTCTGCCTTCACACACTCTGGATAGCAGACCTCGCCAGGCGTGTGGGTTACCAGTGCTTCCACCGTGCTGTGCAAGTGCCCAACTCCCCTGCAGCGCCCTGGGGCGCAGGTGTCCCCAGTGCTAGCGGCTCTGACTGACTTGTGCTTTTGCTGCTTGTGCTTTTGGTGCCATATTTACCATCGCTTAAACAATGCAAGTTCTTTATACAAACTAAGATAGTAAACATTTCCTATTCCTAAATCAAGAGTTCAGTAAGCCTAGTAAAAGAGAACCATTAAACTCAAAGTTCTGAAACCTAAGTTGAAAAACAGAAGGCTTTTGACTGACCTGTTTACGTGACCTCATGGCCGCTTCTTCCAATGTTTCTGCAGCTTCAAATTTGCCTTGACGTCTGTAAAGTGCCCCAAGGTTTTTTAAAGTAGTTGTAACAGTTGGACTGTAAGAAAGCATATGGCATACAGAACTATTACATGAAAGTTTTAGAGTGACCACTAGCAACAGCACATGATCTATAAGACTCACAGACATGTCTGGCTAACGTTCTTCAAACGTGGTACTTTCTTAACTGAAATTCTAAAGGGCTCTTCTGTCTCAAGCATCCCTGCCAACTGCACCGAGCCCGGTGGCTGACCGGCCGCACCCCTGCTCTCCCCATGCTGTGACTGTTCCCAAAGACCCCTGGACAGTCTCCACACCTGTGCAGTGACCCCTAGGGCTCCCCTGGGGGCAGAGCACACCCGGTGTCGGGCAGCAAGGAGGACACACGTTTCAGTGTCGCTCTCCACCTCCCCCTTCTCCCTCCTGGCAAAGGGGAAACAGTCTAAACCCCAAACTCCTCACCAGTGGAAGGAGTCAGGGGATGACAGCTGCGTGTGTGGGAAGAACAGTGTGGACACAGAGGGGGTGTCTCTGTGCTTCTGACAGACAGTCTCACGAAAAAATAAGAAACAAATCTAGTTCATTTCAGCATAGACATATATAACCTCCAAGAGGCTTTGTTCCTTGGGGATGATAGGTGCTTTAGGTACAGAAATAGAGAAGCTATACTCCATGTCTTTGAGAGCACAAAAAATTCAGAAATTATGCTAAGTGCTAGCCCAGAAGAGGTATCTACTCCAAACTAGGGGTTCAGAGAGTTTTCCTGAAACAGACGACTGGTAAACTGAGCCTTAAGGAAGACTGAAAGTTAAAGGAGGAAAAAGACTGTGGAAAGCGTTCAAGTCAGAAGAGGCCCCCAGGGCTGTGCTGGAGTAGCTCACACTACCCTCTGTGGACCACCCCTGCCCTCCCAGGGCGGCGTGGGGAGGCGGGCATGCGGCCCAGGCACGTCTGCAAAGTGCTGGCTTCCGCAGGTCTGCTGGTCTGTTTCCCAGGAGGTTGCTCCATGGCCACCTTCAACACTGGGTCCCCATTTAGCCATCTCCTGCAATGCGGCCGCAAGCCTTGGACAGACTGCTACTGGACAGGACCCATACTGCAAGGGGCTTTGTGTGTGTAAGTTACCTCATTCATAAAGTTACGGGGCTTCCTACTGGAATCTGGGGGAACCACCGGACTGTGCAGCCACAATGCCCTCAGGGGCGCTCACACTGGCTATTCATGAACTTTGAGGCACTAGCTCTTGCACAGCCGTTTCTCTGTTTCTCTCAGTGAAGCAGACATACCTATCAACTTTGCAGGCTTTGTACCAGCCTCCATACTCTCCAAAAGCTGCCCCATCCTTCTGCTTTCCCTAAATTGTAACAAATAATTTCAGATGAGTAATTATCTTAAGCAATATATCCAACTTAGAAAACTCAAAATAGTTATGTTCTTACTTTGCATTCTTCTCTTTCCTCAGCATGCATCCAAATGGGTTTATTTTCATCTACGGAAGAAAAAATAACATCCTATAAATTACAGCATAAAAGAGCCCTTAGACTAAGTAGAAGTTGTCAAGTTTCACTGACTGCAACGTTTCTGTTTCGTTTTTCACACAACCCTTCTCAGGTATTACTTCTCACAACCTGGACAGGTAAGTGTCACAACGGAGAAGACAAGACCATAAAGACAGAACCGGATCACAAGAAACAAGCAGAGAATGGCCATTCATGTGCAGCTTTGTGAACAGTCCTCTACTCTCAGCGCTACCTGGAAAATCATTTCTAAAATTCAAATTAAATTCTATCTTGAAAATACTGCGATGGCTTGGGTACCACCAAGGTCAGGCTGGAAATCACTATTTTTAACGCACCTACACTGCACCTGCGTAGAGAGGAGTGCACCTCTTACCATCAACAGAACCAAACTCCCTTTCATGCGCACGGGTGAGGATCTCTTTGTACAGGGTTTCTGCTTGCTTGAATTTTCCTTGCTTCAAGTAGCAGGATGCCTTAAAATGAAACAAGTACTTATTACTCCTCACATGCAAATGAAGCACAGTTCCTATCGACAAGTGAAACTACAACAGAGCTCAGACAGATGCCAAAAGGGCCGTCTGGCTCTGTCTGCAGCCGCCCCTCTGTCCACACACCAGGTTATTCTTCGTCTTGGCCACGTTGGGGTCGTCAGGCCCCAGCTTCGTCTGGTAGATCTCCAGGGCTCTCTGATAGTAGTACTCCACCTCCTCGTACTTGCCCTGGTTCTGGCACAGTAAGGCCAAGTTATTTAACTGCTTGGCAACATCAGGGTGATCCTTTCCCAAAACCTGGGGATAAAAAAGAGCATATCAGAAACACTCATCACTTGTTTCCCTACCATCCAATCCACTCTCCACCCATTCTGGGGGAGTCTCTCGCACAGAAATACGACTGTGCCTCACTTCCAGGCTTACAGCCTTTGAATGGCTCCCATGTCATGCGATGAGGAAAGTAATAGAGTTTACTGCACTCTCATTCTTGGGGGAAGAAGGGACTGTGCTGAGCTCCTTCAGATGCTCTAGCATCTCTCATTCTTCTAACAATCCTACAATGGAGGTGATACGCATGTTCTGAAGATAAGGAAACTGGATTTTATAAAGGCTATGTAACATAATGGCCAAGTTCTGAAGAGCCCAAACTTAAACCCAGCCCCTTCCAACTCTCAAGTCACTGAGTTACACTCATTCCTATGCATAATAGCCCTCAAAGGAGACTGTCAACTGTTCAACTCGTGTCCTACACACCCTTTCACATTCAGACCCAGAGGCCCTCTGCGATCCCCCAAACTACCTTCCCCAGATTTCAAGCTCCACCTTCAGGGGTCGTTGAACGTGCTGTCCCAGATGCCGTGCTCGTCTTCCAGCACCACTCTAGCCCCACTCCTCTCCGCCGGCTAATCTTCCAGGCCTCCCCAGAGGGGACTTCCCTATATCCAATTTAAGGGAGCCCTCAGCCCATCCCCACCCACTTAACTCACAAGCACATCACCTGCTTTTCTCTCTCTTTGCAAGTATCACTACCCAAAACTATCTTGTAGGTGGAAGGAAAGAGCAAATACACATGAATGAATTTGGCAGATCATTATATACAGCTCATAATCTGTAATTTGATACACCTGTGGTTCTCGATTTTTAACCCAGTCCACTCAAAATCTGAGTGGATAAATAAATAAAATAAAAACCACTGTATTTTGTAAATATCAGACAGATGGCAACCTGACAAAACTTTACCTGCGCAATTTGATAATGAGCCTTTTTTATTTTCCCTTTTCCAATTCCTTGCCATAGGTCTCAAAATTAAATGATTAATCTCTCAGTATCAGTGGTAAATACTCACACAAAATCAAATTAAAATATCACGGCAAAGACCTGACACCCAAGTCTCTATAACATTTGAATACACAGCCATATAGAGTACTGCTGAAATTACCAAGTCACATTTTTTAATGCCTAATTACCATAAACTGTAGTAGCTGGTATTAAATACCCATGACACTGACTTAATCTATAGCTCTAAGTTATTCTTCTGTTCTCAAAAATAGTTACTCCATTTTTAAGCTTTATAAGCATATTTGGTGACCTTATTTTTAATATTAGTGTTTTTCTTATTGACAGACACATGCCCCATGGTCAAATGAACTGCCCCCAAGCCATCCACCTACAAGCCCTCAGAAATTCCTTCTTCAACAGTCGCTTCTTGGCCTCCTCAGGCTGGGGCAGCATGCAGACTCAAGGCTCCACCCTCGGAACACCCACTCCTCCTAAACTCTGATGTAAATGGGTCAGTCTGGCTGCGTTCTGAGCTGCCCATCTGACTGAAAGACTTATTTTCAGTAAATGGCAGTGACGACAGATCACAGCAGTCATTTCTCAAAACTTAAACCCACAATGTTTAAACAGCACAGGACACTGCCTCTTCAGCAGAGACCCCGCCCCCAGCCGCACCTTCTCCCGGATCTCCAGGGCTCTCTTGCACAGCGGCTCGGCTTCTTTGTACTTTCCTCTCTTGCCATAAAGCACTGCGAGGTTATTCAGAGTTGCTGCCACCTGCCAACAGAGGGAAGCACGAAGGACAGTAAAGGACCGCAGCGGAGAGGACTCAGACGGCGCACATCATTTATACCCGGTGTGCACAGTGAGGTGCTCTTAGTGGGATGAGGGAATATGACCTCCCTTAAACCCAGAAGAGCAAGTTCACCATATATAAGTACAGTTGTACAAAGTAACACTGCAGAACATTAAAGTTAAACCAATCAACATCCACATGATTGTGATTTTTTTCCTTTAATTTCACTGGAAGCCACAAAGCCAACCAAAATAGATCTATATGCAAATCTGATCAGATTTTAATAAAAAGACAATACAAAATCTTCAGAAAAAAATTTACAGGAGTACATGCAATTTGATTTAGGATCAAAAAACTTAGTCCGTGATCCATCTGAGGTGGTGGTGATGATAAGCAAGCTAAGTGCACACTGACAGCTGCCGAACATCAGCGACCCCAGCACGGACGCCCCCACTGCTGCGGAGCGCGTGAGGTCCCACCTGCACCGTCCAGAGAAAGGCCGCTCTTAAATCTTCCCTGTTGAGTTTAATGTTAAAATGAGTTGGGTAAAAAAAAATTAGGAAAAATAAAATATAAAAAGGATGAAAGAACAGATATACAAACCGCAGGATGATCTTTGCCCAAAGTTTTTTCACGGATGGCCAAGGCATCATTCAGTAGATTAGCTGCGTCTTTGTATTTATTCTGGTCTCTAAAGTTAAAAACATACATTAAGTGTTTTAGATAAAACTTACTGAATCTTTTTAAAATGTAATTTTGGAACTAAAGAAATAAAAGTCAAGCTTCAACTATTAAAAAGTGAAAGTTACCTACTAGAACTATTAAAACACCCCTAATGTAGGAGAAAAAGACCCCGTCCACAAATGCACTGGCAAGGTGAGCTTGGAGCCAGGCCTGATCAGCCTTTGAACCTGGCCCTCCACCTAGACTGTCCCCTGGGACAGCACTGCCCCACACTGCTGTGCTCGCCTGTACGTGCCAGATGCCCTGCGGAGTGAGGAAGCCCAGGACCGTGGACGGAGCTTCACTTAGTATCAAACCAAACTCATTCCAGGGTCGGAGTCCAGCTCTGCCAGTTAACGGCTGCGTGGCTTTGGTACATTACGTGGCCTCTGCAGCAGTGGTCGGCCCATCTATAAGGTAGGGATGTGACTCTCAGAGCTGCTCTAAGAAGCTAATGACACGCCACTGCACTAGAAAAGCCTGGGAAACACAAGCATAGGCTGCACACTGCAGTGTCACGATGCAGTTCACAGCTGCCACCGTCTGCGGGAGCAAGGAGGGAGGAAGGGTCTTTCTGACTGGTGAGACAGAAGCACATCCAGCCCCTCTGGTTTAAGAGCTAAATGACACTGCGGCTGCAAACGAGTTAGTTACTTTGCGAGACTTAGTACACATACCTCTCAACTGAGTCAGAACAAACTGCTCAGCAAGGCTTTACCATGCAGAAACCAGTCCGCCCTCCAGAACACTGGAAGGGTTGACAAGGCTTCCAGATCCTCCAAAGTACACCAATTCCAGCCAAGAATATAGGTTTATTTTTCTTCGATCATTCTATTACACATAAAAACTAGCTCGAACTTTTTGTGAAAGTCAGCCAATATGAAATAAAGTTTCAAAAACTAGAAGACACAGTTAACAACAAAAAAACCTAGTAGACACAGCTCTCTGAGAGTGCCAGGAGAGCTGGGCAGGACGCGGCATCTGAGCACTTCTGTCAACAGTGACGTGACATGAAGGTCAGAGACAGTCAACAAGCCAACAGGAACGCCATACCAGGAGCGAGAGCACTGGTTCTCAGAGGCGGCTCCAAACCACACCTGCAGCCTGTTAGAAACCTGGTCCTCTGCCAGACCTGCTGAATCAGACGCTCTGGGGGCAGGGCCCAGCACTTACTCAAGAAGCCCACCCAGAAATTCACATTTGAAAAGAAAACAAAAGTATACCCTGCAAGCATTAAAATCCTAATAGGAAAGAGGGCCTGATAACAGAACATTCACGGAAGGACACAAATGACTAAAAATATATAATCCGAGAATGCAAATTAAAACACAATGCTACACTTCTCCACTAACAAAGAGTTGGTGACAGTGCACAGGAGCGTGGACCGGCACCATCTTCCTGAAAAGCAGCTGGGCAAAATATTCCGAGAGGTGTAAAAGCTCTATATGCTAACCTGTTTTAGGAACTGGTATTTTTTTAAAAATCCAGAATCTTGAACAAAACCTAAAACTATTCATCAGTATAATATTAATGGCCCCCCAAAAGGCTTAAAATTAAACGTTCCTTAATACAAGAACACTGAAATCATGAGTTATGTGGTACAGCTCTAGGATGCAATTTTGAATATGAATATGGATAAATTTATGTAGCTACTAATTTTTTTCCAAACTTCTTGCTGACATGAGTAAAACCTTCATGCATTAAGGAAAAACACAAGACTGAGAAGAGGCCATCAAATTCCCAGTACTAGCACGATGACAACTGTGTAACCAGGCTGCCTACAGACAACAAATCCCAGTTACGTTCTATGTGCATTATTTACAGTAACAATATGGCCAGTGTTGGCCAGAAACTCTCATGTTCTTAATAGGCATGTAAATTTTTAAAAAACTCCTCTGGAATGAAATTTAGCATAATCTACCAAGATTTTAAATGCAAATACCCATGACTATAACATACTGTATAACAGTAAAAATTTGCAGACTTAAAAGTCCATCAACAGGAAGCCTGTCAAAAAATTCCAGGACTATTTGTAAAGCAGAGCACCACACAGCCATGAAAAAGACTGTGCTGCTGTCCAAGCACAGAGTTGCCATGGTGCTACCACAGTGCTAACTTTCCCTCCCATGTTTTTTGGGGTTTTTTTTTTTGGTTTTTTTATTTTATTTTTTAACTTTTTTTTTACTGAGTTATAGTCACTTTACAATGTTGTATCAAATTCCAGTGTAGAGCACAATTTTTCAGTTATACATGAACATACATACATTCATTGTCACATTTTTTTCCGCTGTGAGCTACCATAAGTCTCACCCGTGTTTTTTAAAGCAACCACCTCTTTGATGGTTACACTCCTCTCTGTAGAGCCCTCCCTCCCTCCTCACCCTTCACACTGTCCCCATGCCTGCTCAGGTCCCCAGCTCCATCCCCAGAAGACCCCACCTCCGGGCAACCTACTTAATGCTATTCAATTCCTTTACCAAGAGCTTTTGAGTCAGGAAACATGCCCAAGTAACATGAGGTGGAGGGACAAAGGCAACCTGGTCCTCAACTTCAAAGAATCACGATTCCGGGAGAAGAGATGACAAAATTCAAACAACCCGACGCCAAGTATCGCAAGCAAGTGCTGTGAGAGGGGTGGGGCAAGGGTTATGGGGCACAATGGGGCCAAGAGGCACATGGAACCCTGGATTCATGAAGGACAGAGAGTTGGACAGCGCCTCAGAAAGATGGGGAGGGGACTAGGAGGCAGAGTGGGAAGGCTATTCTGGACAAAAGAACACTTTGGTACACGGAGTCCTATGGGGAAAAAAATCTTAAAGATTCAGTTTGGCCAAAACAAAGGGTGCGTGTGAGCTATTCTAGGAAGGCTGGACTGGGTGTAGCCAGGCAGTGTCTGTGCCACAGGGTGACATCCTGCTAGAGAGCTTGCCAAATATTCTGAATTTAACTCTCGGCTGTTTGAAGAGAAACGGATAATAAGGCTGGAAAAGGAACTTATACCAGTTTATAAAAATATATTTCAGGGCATTTTCATTAAAAACACTGTTTCTATGTAAAATTAAGATAAAAGGAAAACTACTAGCCTGTAGACCAAGGCCAGGATATTGAGCATGGTGGCCACGTCTGGGTGGTCATGGCCGGAGGTCTTCTCCAGGTCCTCCAGGGCCTGCTTGCAGAGGGGCACGGCAACCTCGTAGCGCCCCTGTGAGGCGTACTGGATGACCAGGTTGTGGAGGGTGCGCAGCCGCGCCGGGATCTCGTAGCCACCCTGCTGGGCAGCTGCCGCCGCACTGCTGTGCTGCTGCTGAACTACACGGAGAGAGTTCACTTCTGGTGAGTTCGAAGAAAACCAGCCAGATCACACCCATTCATTCAGACTTTCTTCTCTAGCTTTGGTCCTAGTCAGCACGCTGCCCCCAGGCTATGGAAGCCCCTCATCAGGACTGGGTAAGAACAGTAACTTGTCAGTGGTGGTGCGTGCCCGCCCACAGTGCAGTGAGGCTGCTACTCTCGACACCAGGAAAACTCATTCTGCCTTTTTCACTCCGTAAGAACCCACAGATCACGTCTGAACTGGTTGCACACGCTCTTGTTAGCTAGGGGCCAGTTTAACATGTTACTATATCCCAACAAGAAAATGGCTTGAAATTGTTTTGGGAAACACAACCATTCCGAGTGCGCACATGCTCCTGGGAGGCAGGCTGCAGGCACACCGATTACGGCAACTACACTCAACAGGACAAGCCACCTTCTGGCTGATGCCGCCATTTAAGCACCACTTCCACTTACTTCCTTGACCGGGGTCATCATCATCATTTGGGAAAAGGTCATCCAGAGGTTCTTTGGTGGAATCGGTGTCTTTGTCCTCCTATAAAACCAACCCAGGACAATCTTAGTCTTACAACTACTATAAATCCTGCACTGGAAATCTGACATAAATTTCATTTTAATTAAAAATAGAAAATATGGTTCATTTTTCAGATCACATATAGGATTATCCACAATTGGGCTTATCCATCAGGTTAGTGAAGAGTAATAAAAAGCTTGCTAGACTAAACTCAGGTGCTCAGTGCGAGCAGCGGCAGACCATGATAGCATCTGTGCCTTAGGGTCCTCCCATGTCCTAAAGACGTTCAACGGAGCAAGAAAACCCTTACTTGGAATAAATTTTATTTGGAAATCACATGATTAAGATGGAAACTCTGTGAACACAGAACTGTTGGGCTAGACCCTCCCTCTCCCCACCCTCTGCCCTCCACCTCCACCGCAGGACCCCTAAGGGCAATCTGACAGCCTGTGACTGGTGTCTCCCACTGACTGCTGGTGAGGACGGGTTAAAATACATGTGGAGACAACTGACCACAGCCTGACTGGGTGAGAAGTGAGCATCGTCCTGGGGCAGACAAACACCAACCACCCCTCCCCTGGAAGGGGCAGTCTGAGAGGGACTTACAGTCACTTTTGTAACAGTCCCATTTGTGATGCGTAATACAAATGAACTCATAAAGAATCATTAGACAAACCTAAGCTGAGGGACCATCTACGATGTAACTGGCCTGTGTTCTTCAAAAACATCAATGTCATGAAAGACAAAGAAAGACTTTTTCCTTTCTTTGGAAGGACCAGCTCCAGATGACAGTTGACTAAAAAGACGTGACAACTCTGCGCAGCGTGCAGGCTTGAGCCGGATCCTGGAATGGGGTGGGAAGACCAGCAAGGCCTCTGCTGAGATAATCAACAAGCGAGGACTCTGCACTGCGGAGGAGATGAAGCACTGTGCCTGAGTTCAGCCTCCTCAACCTGACCTGGCCCCCGGGGTCCACGGAGAATGCCCTTGAGCTAGGGAAGCGCACCAGCAGTGGGAGGAGGAAGTGGCAGAAACAATCGCTCGGCCCTGCCCATCGGGGGAGCTCACTGCACCCAGCTCTTCTCCACGCTAGACATTTCTTCAAAATAAAATGTTCTGAACGTCCCAGACTCTATGACACCATCTTTCCCAGCTTGATGTTGCCCAGTTTTCCAGGTGACTCCCTGGCTGACACCAACATCGCCACATATTCTTATTCCCACAGCAGCCTACAGGAGTACATCTTTTAAATTAACACATTAGTTGCTCCTGACCTCAAGGTGCAAGGGAGAAATACAGCCTAATAAACAAGCCTAATATAGAAGGAGGCTATGGACTGTGTCCCCCTCAAAATCATGTGTTGAAACCCTCCCCTCCCCACAACATGATGGTATTTGGAGACGGGGTCTTTGAGAGGGAAAAGGTCAGATGAAATGACGGGGTGAGGCCCTCACGATGGGATTAGTGCCCTAATAAGAAGAGACACCGGAGACACTCTCTCTCCCTGCACTGCCAACCCGCCATGTGAGGACACAGCAAGAAGGCAGCTGTCTGTAAGCCCGGAAGAGGGTCCTCACCAGAACGCAGCCATGCTGGCACCCAGCCTCCAGAGCTTGTGTATGGTATTTTGCGATGGTAGCCCAAGCTAAGGCACAGGCTAAGTGTAGGTTTGCTGGTGTAATGCACAAACCATTCCAACAGGCTCAGGATGAGGGTTCAGACTGGAAACACAAGTATGGAACTCAACGGTAGACAGACTAGGTAGTGAACAAGCCTAGCACCATGTAGGCATTAAAAAAAAGGTTAGCTAAAATGCAACGAGAAGTCCTGGACTGGCTCCTGGAACAGAAAAGGGACACATTTTAATGGAAGGACTGGTGAAATCCAAATAAAGGCTGCAGTTCCGTTACCAGTAACGTAACAACATTAATTTCTTACTTTCAACAAAGATACTCCTACGGACTCAACGTTCATGTCCTCCTACCAAAAATTCCTACGTGAAAGTTCCAGTGCTCAGCATGGTGACATCTGGAGGCTGGGCCTTTAGGAGGTAACGTGGACTAGCGGTCACAGGGTGGGGCTATCATGACGACATCAGTGTCCTCATACAACTCAGAGGAAGACACACTCACTCTCTCTGCACGCAAGCACCAAGGAAGGCCAGGTGGGACACGCCGGGAAGAGAGCCCTGACCAAGAGCTCGACCAAGCTGATCTCAGACCACAGGCTCCAGAACCAAGCGGAAGGAACGTCCCTGTTTTAAGCCATGCAGCCCTCAGTACTCTGGAGACCACAGTGTCCCAAGTTAACTAAGACATGTACTCAGGTGATGGAAGATGTGACTTTAGAAGAAACTGGGTGAAGGGTATATAGGAATTCTCTTAACAAAATCATCTCAACTTTTCTGTGAATCTAAAATTCTTCCAAAATAAGAAAGGTTACTTACAAAAAAGAAAAGTTAACTGAATCAGAGATAAATAGTAGACGAAAAACAGTAATTAAGACTGGGATGAACATTCAGATGGCCAACGGAAAAAGAAAAAAGCAAGACCTTTGGGGAGCCCTAACGTTCCAGGAACTATAAGATAAGCTGGCAAGGGAGACGGAGGAGGCATGAGTGAGGGAGCAGGAGTGCCAAGTGGTGTCCTTGGCAGGGTGGAAGGGACGTTCAAAGAAAAAGTCAAGATCCACAGTGCCATAAAGCAGAGGGAGCCCTGGGTCTGGATCGCAGCTGGCTAGGCTGGGTCACGGCTGAAGGGAAAGTGCTCTGGCAGCGTGATGGGTGTGGAAGCCAGACTGCAGGGGGCTGGGATGCTCAGGACACCTCAAGCTGAGACAGACCTCATGGAAGGTCATGGCGCCTCTTTGCACTGTACCTTGTATTTACACAGTATTTTCACATTTTCTGACCACTGTTCAAAAATACACATATGAAAAAAAATACTCCAAGGAGAATTCACATGACTTGCCAGGGACTCAGTCCCAAGACCCATAATCCTCGGTCTTGCTCAGTGGAACCACTTGAGGGGAGTGGAAACCCGCGGCCTTGCTGAGACCCCCACCGCGGCAGCGGGGACACCGCGCTGCCTCCCTCCCTCAGGGCCACTTACGGACGGGGAGACGTCATCGTCATACTTCTTCAGCTGGTTCATGAATTCCAGGTGCTTCTTTTCTTCCTCCAGCTGAGCCACAGACTGCTCACTCTTCTGCAGTTTCTGCTGCGTGTTGGCCAATTCATCCCGCAGCCACTGATTCTCCTGGCATAGACGGCGGACCTGCGCACGCAGTTTCTGCTTCTCTGACTCAACGGCATTCAGGTGATTGGACAGAGCCATCATAACCTGGGCAGACAGAGAGGGTGACGGCATCGCACCACTCGGTCCAACCAACCCCACCTGCCATCTCCAGCAGCACCCGGGCTGCAGCTCTAGCTTACACCGCAGATGTGTGCTCCAAGTACACGCAGGGAGTGAGTCATTTACCTCTATCCTCACCCTGCAGTCACAGGCTACATTCAGGACATGATCAAGAATACTGCATGTTCAGAACATCTACAAAAATACTTATTTTTTTCTGTCTGAGAGCATCGCAAATGGACCAGCAATGCACAGGCAGCTACTCTTCTGATGAAGCTGTATTTTTTTACTTTCAGTCTAGACAACTCCAACAGAATTTCTCAGAGACCTTTTCCACCAGTGAGAGCACGTGCACGTGCCTGCGTATGTGTGCAGAGTGTGCAGGTCACTCTGTGAGGGCTGGTGGTGGAGCTGAGGTGGGGCAGGCTGACAAGCCTTCCATGTTCCACGGTTAAGGGAGGAAAGCTTGGTGGCTAGCACAGAGAGTCAGAATTCCCCAACACATTCACAAGCTGAGATTGTATCAGGCTCTACCTGTGGTGCACTGACGAGGCTCAGGGACACCTGCCTGAGGCCGTGCCCAGTTCCTGGGAGGACAAGAGCTGAAAGAGCTGGGGAGAAAAGCTGGCTTCAGTCTGTTCTCTCTGCAGACCATGCACCTGCGCTTCCCTCTTTACTATCCTCCTAGGTTTAAAAACTGAAACTCCAGAGGGTGGGGCTGCTTCTTCCTTCTTTTAACCCCAGTATCTGCCAGACTGAAAAAGGAAGTTCACATTCCTATCGCTTTTCAACACACCACTTGCAAAATAATAGATCACAAGAACTAAACAAAGTTCTACAGTTAGCATCTGTAACATGGTTAGGATGAAGAATTCTAAAATTAGGGTATGGAGAGTCACTTTGGTCTAGGAAAGCAGAAATTGGTAACCTAGCACCCCATTTCTGCTTCATTCATTCACTATATAAGAAGAAAACTAAAAAAGAAAGAAGCCAATTTTTAGCATATTTAATTTTACCTAAAATACGCTGGCAGAGCCACATGTTGGGGTGGGGGCTCACACCCAGGTATCTCTAATTTTTTCATCTGTCTAGTTTGACAGAAACAAAGATTCAGTCAAATATATAAAGCAATCCTGTCTTGGGATATCAGAGACTATTAACTGTTGGCCAATATTCTCTTCCCCTTCTTCCTTAGGCTTAAGAGCCTGGAACTTTAAGTGAGCAAGACAACATTCCCCAGGGTCTCTCACAACTAGGTGTGGCCATGGAACCAAATTCTGGCCAATGAAATGCAGGCAGAGTGCTGTGCACAGTTCAAGGAAGTGAAGCAAGGAGGCACGCCCTTCCGGTCCCTTCCCCGTCTCAGGACAGGGTTACGTGGCTGCAGCTTGAACTCTCAGCCCGCGAGACAGGCTGTCTGCAGTGCAGTGATTGCAGCAGGTGGCAGGGGCCTGGGTACCCCTGACAACCACGCAGCTATACAACCTGTCTGGGACAGCTTACCTGGGTGTCTGTTTTACACACAACTATGATGCTTAAGCCACCATTTTTGTTTTTTGATACGTGCGGCCAAATCAAATCCTAATTGACACACAGGGTTCTCTCTGTTTTGACTCTACTGTTTAAAATTTAGACATGCCCATCATTCGTGTAACAAACATAACCCACATACAAGTTGACCTCTATTACTCTGTAAGTATCTTCCTTCCAGTTTAGTTACACTGTGTATTTCAGATGAAGTCTCCACTTTTCCAGACTGCTAAGGTCATGTCCATGCCTGAGGATTTGTACCTGTGCCTCACTCAGGCCAAGCTCCAACATCTCCAATGACTTCCGGATCATGTTTGATTTCTCCTCCACCAGATTACTTTCGTCATCTTTCTTCAAACACTTCAGTGTCTCCAGTAAACTTTGTAAAATGGAATTGTGCTCATTCTTCAGAGCTTCTAGCCCCTGAATTACTTGCTTTGTCTTAGAAATAATTTCGTCCTGCGTGAGCTTCTCCAACTTATCTTCCTTTATGTACACCATTGTGGACATGCTGTCGTACATTCTAGGATGGAAAAAGAGAAAACACATATCTCATTACAGGCTTAATTTTTGTTACCCCTTTAATAAAATGCTTTTGAAGACTTTTTTTTTGGTGAATAATAAATGTGTATATTTGTACCTTGAAATACTATATTATGTACTCTTTCTGTTTTTCCTTTGCAGACCAATTTAACTACTTTTCTGGCTTATGTCTGAATTCTTTTTTATGGAAGAAATGACAACAACTGAAATTAATGCCCAAGATTAAAAGCAGCAAAATATCCAAATGGCATTTCCAAAACACACAGCCTCAGTGAACAAAATTCTCCCTGAAGTTTGCAACCTTTTCTTTCCTTATGAAATGCAGAAGGGACAGTAAATTCTTGGTAACACATTTACCAGACAAGGCCTTGAGAAGTGGTCACACCTGGAAAAAGAAAAGGCAGCAAAGGAACCTGGGGACGACAGAGAGGTGAGCGGAGGGCTGCACGTGTGCAAGGCAGGGTGGGTAAGAGAGGGACACAGGCAGGACGGCCAGTGCTGCAGAGGCTCTGGGAGGAGGAGGGCCCAGCATGCCCCCAGACCAGACTAGCCAAGAGGTCACGGGGTGAACCATGTGGTGTCTGGGACTGGCTTTAAAATATTCCAGTGAGAAGGAAAAGGAAAGGGGAAAGGGGCACATAAAACAATGTCACCAAGTGGTGGCGATAGCTAAAATTAAGCAAGAGTTCTTCTTACTATCCTATGTCCTCTCTAGTTGTGTGTATGTTTTAAAATCCCCTAATTTAGCTTTTTTTTAAAAGGCCACAGTGGTCATTAGGAAAGCCTGTTCAGGAGTGACAGAGATGGAAGTCAGATTGTATGTCAGAGCGATTTCCTTCAGAGCACTTACCACTGTCTTCACAAAGCGTTCAGCCCCCTGAACATGAGCTCTATTTAAAAGGCAGAGACTTTATCGTGTACCCCACTGTCTGCATGGTACCTTGGACAGCTCCTGACCCCCACAGTCCGTCTGGTGAGTGGATGAGCTGGTAGATGCTGGCTGAAGGGAAGCAGTGTTGCAGCAGCAGATACAGGCTACACACTCCAGGATTTGGGCATGAAGGGCTACACGCAGCTGATGTCAGGGTCACATCTGTCCCTGCACCCGCAGTTTCATATTGGAAAACTGATTTTTTTTGCATAATATTAATTAAGACTTTAAAATCCTCTGGAAATTCAGAAGTTGCCTATACGACTATTCAGAAACTCACCTCCATACCACGAAGAGCCCAGAAAACAACAAAAGAACACAGGCAACTCCTCCATCTGACAGCCTACAGTATCATTAGATTTGTTATAAATTTATTCAGCTTGTGGCTCTCCAACTCCAGGAGAACAGGGACCTCATTTGTCTTATTCAGCAGTATACTCTGAGCCTGTCACACAGTAAATGCTAAATACGTATTTGCTGAATGAATGAATGAAACATTTTAGGACTAGCTTCCAATAAACGGGATTCATACCCCTAGGTTAAAGTGCTGATCTGAGCACTGCCTAAGGTTTGCTTTCCAGAACTCGTGTCCCTACAGAAAGGAAAAAAATAAAAATGAAAGCCTCCTTCACCTTTGGCAGTGATGTATTCATGTACTATTTCCTAATAATGCAACATTTATTCTTTTCTTTCCCAAACTAGATGATACAAGCATTTACTGAAATGTACTCTGAGCTAGGCCCTGGCATACACAGGACGAGGGCCTCACCCTCTGGGACATGCAGATGAGAGAAGACAGGTGACAGGAACTTACGGTGGGAGCATGGTGGGGACAAGGGGGCAGCGGCACTTCCACTGGAGAGGGGAGGCCAGCCATATGGAAGAAGTGACCCCCGACCCCAAGGTGAGCCGCTCTTATCAAATGAGCACATTCTCTCCAGACGAAGGTGAAGTGTGGAGGGCATTGCCAGCTGCAGAACATCAGGGCCACAGCAGAGGTATGAAAGTGCCTGCAGGTGGCTGCGAGCAAGGCACACAGTGACAAGACTAGAAAGGCAGAGGGGAGCAAGGTCACAGGACACCTGCATTCTACAGGCAGGAGCTGGGGGCAAGGGGGAAGGGGGCTGCAGCAGGGACAGGAGCAAGAGGAAGGTTCTGGTGACGACGCCACAGAGCAACCCGTCAGACACACTGTACTCATTTCCCCAGCCCTCTGCCAGCTTAAGGTTCGCTGCCTCTCTTCAGAGAGCCAAGCACCTAGCCAGCAACTTCCCGGTCTTTTCCAACAACATTCAACCCAAGGGACGCAAAGGAGAGTCCCTAGAACTAATAAATGACAGCAACTTCATTACTCAGACCAGTCTGGAAAGTAAGTGCTCTCAGGGTGTGAGTGGGCAGCAGTCCCACCCACACAAGAGCAAATCCTGTCCAATCATAAAACGGTCGATGTCAGCACCGCCACAGGTTATAGTGGTGGCAGAAGAGGGAAGAGGGGGCAGTTATTGTTTACGTAAGAGAGAAAGGGGGAAAAGAGTGTTTATACAAAAGTAAAAAACCATAAAAAGTTAAGACTTACTACAGGAAAAAAGTCAAAACAAAGTAAGGAAGACATCACCTTAATTGAGGGGATGCATCTAAAGAAACCCAATTTTAATTCCTTAAGGAATATGTAGTAAAACTGGTGGCAGGGCACTGCATGCTCACACACCCCTGTACAGGCTTTAACCACACACACGAGCAACCGAATACAAATGTTATCTGCCTGCACACGTGCGCGCGCGCACACACAAACACGAGTTGCTTAAGCCAGTTTTTTTTTTTAATTACCCTTAAAAGAAAATTAATGAGAATCTAAATGCCCTTGGAGGGTACTTGGCTCTCCTGGGCAATGAGATGACAGGTGCTGTGGGCAGCTGAGGCCTGGCAGAGGTCCCCAGACCTCCTCGGGTCTCAGCGGGCAGCACCAGGCTTTCGGGAACATGGGAAGGTGCAGGTGAGGCACTAAGCACAGCAGCTGACAGTCACGCAGGAACCACTCAGTGACCAGGGCACCCTCTGCGCCCAGAGGCAAGGAGTAGGGAACAGCCCTACTAAAGGACCGCTCAAGGTCTGCAGATACTCCCTGTAACACAGGCCTCACTGCTTCGCAAGATAGTTGGTTCTTGTTAGACTGCTCTAATATTTAGTTAGAAACTTATTCCTTTTACTGAGTTCATATCTCCCTCCTTGTAACTTCTACCCATTGAGCCAAATTCGTCCCTCTAAAACAAACACAAAATATATTTACTATCTCATCCACAAGATAACATTTCAAATATACTGTGTTACAGGCATACAGTTCTCCGAATCGTCCATCGTCCAAACTCACGCCTCATGCCACTTCCCAGGCATGCCTCAGTCACAGCAGTTTCCTTGTCTCCCACCTGAGTCAGCAGTGCATGGATAGAACAAGGGAAGTACACCATGGCATGCATACCTATACTGCTTGATACCTTCCTTATTTCTAAGCTAAGCCACTATAACCAAAGGTGGGTTATATAACAACAGTGCTAAGGCAACTGGATATTTGGTGGGGTGGGAGGGAGACGCATTCCTACCCTTACTATACACTAAAATAAGTTCCATATTGATTAAAGAACTAGAGGTTAGCTCACGGTGAAAAAGAATATGAAAATGAATGTATGTATGTTCACGTATGACTGAGGGACTGTGCTGTACACCAGAAACTGACACAACACTGTAAACTGACTATAGCTCAAAAACAAAATTTTAGAGGTTAAAAAACCTCTAGAAGCTAGAATAAAATTTAGCCACAGGTCTCTATGCATATGGGTGAAGGTAAAGAACATTCTATGAATAAAATGTACGAGAATTAAGACTGATAAAGAGTTTGCTTAAAATAAAGCTCCTGAAGTGTGGTCTAGAGACTGCATGCCTTTCTGAGGGAGCACTGCTTTGCAGCCCACGCCGAAGAGCTCAAGAGGTCAAGAGAGAGGTTACCCTGGTTTCTTTTTTTTTCTCTCTTCAACATGCAGAGTTGTATTTTTTTAATTGAAGTACAGTTACAATGTGCCAATTTCTGGCGTACAGCACAATGTCCCAGTCATGCATATACATACATATATTCATTCATTTCCGTATTTTTTCATTAAAGTTTATTGTAAGATATTGAATAAAGTTCCCTGTTTGTTTTTATCTATTTCTATATACAGTGGCTAACATTTTCAAATCTCAAAACTCCCCAGTTTATCCCTTCCCACCTCCTTTCTCCTAGCAGTAAGGCTGTTTGCGAGTCTGCTTCTGTTTTGCAGGTGAGTTCAGATTTTTTTTTCAGATTCCACACATGAGCGATTATCATATGTCGTTTCTCTTTCGAGGTTACACTGATTTCCAAAAGGTAAAAATACTGAGTGTCTAGGTTGACTGAGACATCATATTTTGTCAGCCTATAAATCACACTCCCTAAGACGTCTTCCAACTCTAATGCTGTGAATGCCTTGAGGTGACTCAGTGGAACAATGAATCAGCCGGCACAGAGCCTGGCGCTCGCAGGCACCAATAAGTATGTGCGCAATAATGAACTAAGCAGCTTTGGAGGCACTGCATCTGAGTCCAGTACCCTTTCCTCCTCTCACCTGCTGTGTGAACACCTGGAGCCTCAATCTCACCACGCACCAAGTGGCATGGACACACACCTGCCCTGCAACGTGGTAAAGGTTCAGAAACATTCCCTTCCCTCTGCCCCTCTGACACACTGGCCTCAGGTTGTCTTAATTACCCATGGGAAATTACTTATTGTGCTTTTTTTTCCTCAAGAAAGAGAGAACTCTTGAAAGTCCCATTATTTGCTCTGTGAAAGCAAAAGAACTAAATTCTTAATGCATAATCTCCAAGGTAGAACCTGACAAATCTAACATCTGAGATGAGTTCCTAAAAGGAGAGAAGCCTTCCTAGGATCACACCTCTTCAATCCACGGTTCAACAGGCAAACCTGTCATGGCCTCCGAAGTTCCAAGTCTCCAGACTCAAGCCCCCAACAAATCCTGTAC